CTACATTCCATTATATTAGAATCCAAATCTATACCATAAATGGTTATGACTGTTGTAGGCAAGACCGTTTATTCCTTTTTAATGAGAATTCACAGTCGATTACATAACAGAATGAAAGTTTGTGAATCATGGTAGCATTTTTGTGACTGAGAGGGACCAACAAATAAAATATCATCCGAAATATGTGACATGCCACCTGCCTTATATTTTGACTGCATTATCCACTGTAATGCTACACTTAAAGTCTCAAAAGTTTTCGAGCACTTCTTGCACCCATTGGAAGACATTAATCATAATAGAAAACCCCATTCCAGCTAAAACCTAAAAGATTGTAGTCAGATTTCTGTATTGGAATAATGCGAAATGCATTTTCAACATCGGTCTTAGCCATTCTACAGGATTGACCATATGATTTGACCAACTCAACAACATTATCAATAATATCATACGAAACAGCAGAATATTCGATAGGAATACCTAAGTTAATTGAATCATCTTTTGGGAATGACAAATCATGAATTAACTGAAATTTTCCATCTGACTTTGGAACCAAACCTAGTGGTGAACAAACAAATAATGAGAATGGAGGTTTTTTAAAAGGCCCAGCAATGCGACCACTTAGACTTTCTTTTGCCAATTTAAGATACACTGCATCTGGATTTTCAGTAGCTGATTTATGGTTTTTGCATTTTTTGTTTCTTGGTGTACCTTGAAAATTAAGTGAAAACCCAAATTTGAAACCTTGAACTAACATATTACTTAAATCGATATCATAACCCTGCCATTCCTTCTCTAGCAACTTACCGTTTACTGGTGTTAGTATTTTGTTTCTGATTTGACATTTGTTTGTTCTGTTGTGTATTTTGCTGTGGTTTGTATTCAGTACATTGAAATCTTGCGTTTGAACCTTTACAATAGTGGCAGACTTGCTTGTATGAGCAAGGTTTGTTGCAAGTTTGTTCTCTGTTAAACAAAATGCATGTTTTGACACTGTTTGGATGCATGTTTTTACTGTAGTATTGTGTATTGCCTTGGTTTTGAAAAGTTTTGTTTTGTCTTGAACATGACAGTTGTTCTCCATTCTTTTGATGTGTTTTATCATTTGATTTTGACATTTTATTAGGGACTTTCCGTTTTGAATTTTCCTCGGAGTTCAGTATTTTTGTGATTTTACTTTTTGCTGGTTGGGCACGAAAATTCTTGTTTTGGGTATTACTAGTATTGGCTGATTTAGTGTTAAATTCATCAATTAGTTTCCCCCAAGGTAGCTTAATCATTTCTCTTAACCTTCTAAATTTCTCGTCATATGTCCTCCAAGGCTCATCTCCATATACGTCATACACCTCTCTTATGTTATGACCATAATTGAGTAGATGCCTTGCTTCCTCTGGGGATTTCTCAATATAAATATCAGAAAATACAAGAAATGCAGATGTCCACTGCTCTATGGACAGTGGAGGTTTGTTTGACCTTGATGTATTATACAGGGAAAATTTCCTGTTACTAACACATAGACTAAATGGGTCTTCTACGTAAGAAGACGTTAGACTATTCATATCGATGAATTCATCCGACCATATTTTCTCTTTAATTTTTTGAGAAATAGTGGCTTCCAATGAGATGCCATCAGAAACTCGTATTCTAAGTGAATTTTCACTTGACATATTATTGTTGACTGGCGGCTCACCTGAAAAAAGTGTTTCAACCACAGCTTGGATTCTAAATTCTTTGGAAGTACTAGTACTGCATGATGGGTTATGATCAGTTGTTGAATCTTCAGTTGCAACTGTGCATGTAGGGTTCACCTGTATCTGTGATGCTCTCACCTCAAATGCTGCTAATGAAGGAATTGGAGAAGGAACACTTACAGTGTTTGCAGCAGGATCTATGTTCTGAGCAGATGTTAGTATTATACATGTATGATCTGTAGCAGTGACTGCATGTAAATCAGCCTGAATAATGGTACTGTTATAAGATGGTGGATTATTTATATTCCCGGACTGTAGCCGTATGATTTCAGCTGCCAATTTTGTGTAGTCAATATTGGTTTTTTGGTTTTTGCTGGTTGAATGGTCGCTTTAGCCGGACTTTCCTCGTTTGGGAGGCATTTCCTGGCAGTTTGTGGAGTTGAATTATGACTTTAGATACTGAAACAGAATTAGATTGTTAATATATTTGTTTGTGTGAAATATACACAAAAATGAATGACAATGGCCTATAAACTACTGTCCAAATGTGGTTTGGAGTACACAATGCGTACATGCATGATATTTATAGGTACAATGTACCAAATGTTGCTTATTTTGTAAGCTGAAAATGCCACATTTTAGTTCGACCTACAATGTGGTAGAATAGCAGAGTGTACACAATGTGCAATTGTGAGGTACAATGTTCCAATAAATATAAGCTCCAAATTGCATAGGCAGCTCAATACAATTTACAATTAGTAAAATCTATATATATATGTACAATGTACATAAAAATTCAACATGGAATTAAGCCTATATAATGTTAAGGCAGTTATTTATCCTGATAAGTACAATGTACTTAAACCTCTAGAATGGAGTTATATATAACAGTTTAATTTACCTAAATGTACAATATAATACAGTGTCACTGGTTGAATGTATGAAGTACAGCAGAACGAACACTGTTAAAGTATTTGCACATTCCAAAATAGTTAAGTGCACTCCATTTAAAACATAAAAAATCAAAATTGTCCCAAAAACCATGGTGGTGCCAAAAAGAAATTGCATTTTCATCATGCTCTTTGATTTTCTCTTGTTAAAGTGTGTTTATTTGGATAACGTTATCATTATATCCTGCATATGTTACAAACTCACTCCGGTATAACAACTGTCCAAAAATGACATGGTTTACATGTAAACTATAGTGTAAGTACATCGCGAACGCAAAAATGCCTTGAGCACTTTGGTATGCATTAGTTCTCCTATTTTCTGCATCATTTCCACCTTTTTGTTGAAAAATTATGCGAGGGTGATAACTAAAAGTACATAGTTGTTTTTGCTGAGCTAGTCTGGCTACTGTTAGTCAATCCTGTGCACGACAATTATTTAGAAAATTACTCTTCAACAAACGCAGATTATCAAATTTGTCACAACCATTCATAAAGCGATTTAGTCTTCTTATAAAGCTGTGATCCAATAAAGTTACATGTAAATATTTTCCATTCAAAGACTTTTCCATAACTGTTGACTAATGAACAAACTAGCTGTTTATTGCAGAGTTGTTTAGACTAAATAGTCGGTCACAATGTCACGTGATTTTCACCACAACATAATGTTAAGTGAATCTTTCGTAACAGAAACTATCACACGAATTGTTTCTAATACCACACGAACGTAAAGTTTCTAAAGTTCATAGCGAATATGACAAATTCTCATCTCAAGTTAACAAATATAATAAATGTATCGGTTATCTTCTTATATTTAGGAAAATCGTAATAAATATTGTCAGCATCAAGCACTAGTTCGTCGACCACGAAGTATGTGCGTGGGTAAATATAGGTCAACAAGATTGATTGAAGTGTATAAATTACTCACTATTTGTAACGAAATCTCGCTGAATAAATGATAATCCTTAATACAAATGATGTTTACTGTTTGCTGTGAATCAATTGTCACCAGAGTGTATATAATATCAATCCTGATCCTGATCAAAAATCGTCCAGAAAACATTTGCGTTCTTTTCTGTCGCAGATACATTTTTACGTCAGAATACATCTGTTATCTGATTGGTTGGTTAAAATACAGATTAAACAATGATGCCATTTACACACAGTTCAAACTGACTGTGTAATTCAAAAAAAGTTGTTCACATAGACATAGATGAATCTATCAAATAAATTAGATTTATTTTGGGATACCATACCTCATATTTTGTTAATAGTGAAGAAAATGTTAAAACATGCTACACTGAGGAACAAGTGATCAGTATGCTGGAGTTTCTTATTTACAACAGATTTATTGAATTTGGAAGTAAACGTTTTCAACAAATTGTCGGCATTCCTATGAGAACGAAATGTGCGCCTCTCCTTGCCAAGAATATCAAAGACGCCATATCATTAATCTCACATTCAGATACATAGATGATGTCCTTTCCATTAACAATTTAAACTTTTAGGATTTGGGTTCCATTAATATATCCTTCATTGTTAGATTTATAGCTCGCATTTGACATCATCGGTCATCTCAGTACCAGAATCTATGACAAACGAGACGATTTTAATTCTGAAATTAACAATTTTCCCCACCTTAGTAGCAATATACCAAATAAACCGGCATATGGGAAATAAATTTCTCAACTCATTCTGTATTCAAGAGCTTGCAGCTGCTATCCAGACTTTATAAAACGTCACCAGTGTCTGATCCGAAAGTTGATGAACCAGGGTTATGTCAAAGAACGTCTCGTCCTTTTTCTGAAAAAGTTCATCGGAAGATACCAAGTCCTTGATGATAGATATTCCGTATCAACTTCACAAATAATACATGATGGTCTTGAAGTATAGATTCTAGTCATAACGTTGTTTACCATCTTAATTAAGTGTTTATAGTGTACTTTAATTTGTCTTTGAAAATTATTAACCTTTACTATTAAGTCCATTTTTGATTATATCCTTTTGACGTGGCTTGGTACTTATGCTTCCCGCCAATTGCTATTTAGTTAGATTATAACACAATGACTTCTGTATCCCTATTTTTGACATTTTTACCTATTATGTCTGTTTCTTTTGATCACACATTGTTGTCAATATAATGGAATTTAATTTTACACTGTCACACACGTGAGAGGTTAAGCTAGCTATAAACACAGGTTTAATCCATCATTTTCTACATAAGGAAATTTCTGCACCAAGTCAGGAATATGACAGTTGTTTTCCATTGGTTTGATGTGTTTGACTTTCCGATTTTATTTTTCCTTGGAGTCCGGTTGATTTGTTATTTTACTTTTTGATAGAATATTGACTTGATACATTTTAGAATCTTTGTGTACTGATTGAAGAGCAGAAGAATACTACAGCGTTAGTAAAACATGTTAAAGATGAGATAATTCAACATTTTACAAAACACAAAGGTAATGTAATCGAAATTTGAAAACAAACCATGAGTTTAATTTTTTATTTCGTGCTCTTAACTGACTGATTAATACCAGGTTTGAGATTTACATTAAAACCACTTCATTGCAAATTTTGAAACACGTCTTCAACCTTTAATTTTTCAAGCATACGTAGGAGCATAACATCCAAAAAATAGATGTGAACATCTAGGAATTTTTTTTGTTATTTAAAGTTCTTTTCCCCATGTGTATTCCATATGTTACTGTTTTCACTCTGCCTTGTTTTAAGAACTCCTTTAGAAACTCTTTTGAATACGTTTGCAATATCTACCTTTTACATCATTATTAGTATTTAGCTATATTACTGAGATACTGAATATTCAGAGCAACACATTTTGTTTTCAACATAAAATGAGACAAAAAGGGCTTTAAATAATATTCTGTGTTATATCCACTGCGTTACGGTCTAGGTCATATTATTGAAATCTCCGTTTTGGTTGTAACGGTCTATAGACTATTATATGTTCTTTTTTTATCATGCATCTTTGTATTGTTATTGTTTGTACTCAATCGGTATTGACATTGTCTATGGTATCTTGATACAGTTTATAAACGAATATTTCGAACACAAAATGCATTTATTTATGACAAACTGATGTTGGGATCTCTAGATTTTTGTGTGTGTATTTCAGATGAATTGTCGACCGAAATTGGAAATCTGAGATTTGAAGTTAAACAATATACATCAGCAATGTCCACTACTTCGCAAAAACCAACGATTCACACACAAGGTATGTTAGAGTTATGTGAGATATGCATTTACTAAATGTTAAAAGTAAAACTTCGCCAAGCACACACCATATGATTAAAAGACATGTTTGGTGAACATCATTTCAGCAGTAACCCAACAACAAATTAAAAGTAAACAAGAAATTTCTATGGCAATATATAGTCTTTATAAACAATACACGATTTTTATACATTATCAATAATGGGTTTATTTAAGTTACGACTAGAGTTTATTGACAAAATCTCAGTCTCTAAGTAAAGTATAACATATGACATTTACGGACGCGGTAACTTATGTAAAAATCCTCCCCCAGTAGACTTAAGTACGTTTGTTTTATCATAGATTTATTTAACTCTACTCAGCATTCTATATAAAATATGAGAACATAAATCAATCACCGATTCAGAAACATGAACGGAACAAATTTTACAAATACGCAATCAAGAAGTAATGCCTCTTCAGCAATGATCAATGCCAAAATAATTAAGTGTCAAAAACCTAATAAAGTCTTTTAATTGATTGCTTGTCTTGTTTTTATACTGATATAATCATTTACGTTTGAATACCAAATTGTTTATTAAAGTTAATATTGACAAATCCACGAAACAAGCGCAATACAGTTGCAAAATTGGTATTCATATGTTGATTATGATATCATCTATGAAACTTGTTAAAACAAGTAAATTAATCATATTGTTGTCAGGTGAACCCCATCAATTAGAAGCAGCATGCAGTTCAAATAGTTCTGACGTACAAATGACGGAAAATGATAAAAGTAAGTTCGTAGCATGCTAGTGTTATTTGTATGTAGAGAGCATTCATTAATTATGCAGTTACTGAGTTAATTTGTCATTTTAGCCTGTTTTACAAATAGAAGGCAATACATGTGTGTCTTATTTTAGCTTTTAAATATGTGCCTTACTTCATCAATATGATTTATATGGTAAATTTCATTAAAATAAACAACATTTCATACATATCTATGGATACTTACTATAATTAAAAGAGAATGATATGGATAAAAAGGAAAGTTGATTTCAGATCAAAGAGACAATAACAAACCATATAAACACGACTAGGTTAAAAATAAAAAAAAATCACATTATTAAGAGCTCAATGCACGGTTTTCATCAAAAATATACCCAATAACTTGAGTCAATCAGATAATAAAGCGTCTATTAAAAAGATCCCATGATTTAACGGTATTTTTAACATTGCCATATAAGCGAGTGGTATGGCTAGCCATAAAACCAGGTTCAACCCACCATTTTTTCTTAAAAATGTCCTGTACCAAGTTAGAAATATGGCAGTTGTTATCAAATAGTACGTTTCTATATATGTTGGCGTTTGTTGTTGTTGCAGTTCGGTGTTCCTGTTGTTCCGTTGTTTTCCTCTTATACATGCTATAGTTGATGTGTTTCCCTCGGTTATGGTTAGTGACCCGGATTTTTTTTCGCTTAATCGATTGATGACAAATGAACAGCGGTATACTACTGTTGCTTTTTTTTAACAGACCCTTATACATGAACAAGTGCTGTTATAAAGGCAAAAGAAAAAAAAACTAGTACGACAGACAACCACTTACCTGTAGTAGTATTCCCTGATCTAAACTATAAAAGAGTCAAATAATCGAATATGTTTGTTTATTATCTACATAAGAAAATGCCCGTACCAAGTCAGGAATATGACAGTTGTTATCCATTCGTGTGATGTGTTTGAGCTTTTGATTTTGCCATTTGATTAGGGAATTTCCATTTTGAATTTTCCTCGGAAGTATGTATTTTTGTTATTTTACTTTTTGTTATGTAGATCAAATCTTAGTTTATGAGGCGCAAATGTATGTTAATCGATGCTTTTCAATCCATGTTGTTCGCTGTAACTTTGAGACATGAGTTTATCGCTTAACTATTTCAATTTACTAGCATTTCAATGTTTACAGCGTTTGTTGCTTTTATAGCTCGATATTAGATATATTGTTAAACATAGCTCAAATACTACAATGCTTTGTTTATATCATGTAACACTATGTGGTCAATAATATCAATGGTTCAATCACAATGATTTAAACTCATTACTCAATAAGGAAAAGCTAATGAACAGCACTCTTTGATCTGCAAAAATTAGTATACATATATAATATGTATAATAATTTGCAGGTTTGAATACCAAATGTACAATACCAATCTTAATAATATATCATAATTTTCGGAATAAATTACATAAAAAGTGATAAAAAAAAATTATATTAACTCCTAACGTATGGGCTCAAGTGCTACGACAGGGTAATATTCGCCTGCTTTAGATGCATCTAATATCACCCGGTTCCCAACTCACATCTTTTGTAAACACTAAAGCCAAAGACATGTCAAAACCGGCAATGAAGACATTGTTAAAAAGAATTGTGAAACTGACACAGTGTTAAGTTCATCGAATTCCTTCTTAGGACCATAGGAATTGCATAAATTGTTAGTTCATTTGTATTGTTGTTGTCACAAACAAAAAGCTTTTGCATTTACTAATAAAGATATAGGAACACTATGTATAGATACATAATATGTCTTTTTGCAGAAATCAGTAAATGTCGAGTTGAATGGAGGCTCGAAACACCAGACGAATGGAATTTAGCAGAAATCAAAGAAAATTTAGAAAATTGTTCTCATTTGTTACGACGCTATTTCGAAATAGAATTTGTTTATGTTGGATCTTTAGTTATAAAAACATTAGTACCACGACACATTTTGAATGATAGAGATCAAATGCAAAGGTCCGTACATTTATTTTTGGAAAAGGTTTTAGAAGTTTGCAAAATCAATACAGATGAATCTGCAATCATCAAAGTAGCTTTAATAGTATCTGAGGAATCCTGTTATCAAGGTAAGATATATTCAGACAGTTCACTATTCGTCTTATGCTTACTAAAGAAAAAAGTGTCTACATTATGCACATTGATCTTAATTTACCATTTATAGTAAATTAGTCAGACGAGGGTGAATCAAATGCTAATACAAGATGACTTCAAATATCGGTATGGGTGCATATAAAGGCTGTTCAATAGTCATCAATTTATTAAGTTAAAACAAATCCGGGTCACAAACCAAAACTGAGGGAAACACATCAACTATAACATGTATAAAAGGAAAACAACGGAACAACAGAAACACTGACCTGCAACAAAAAAAAAACGTCAACATACATAGAAATGAACTATTAGATAACAACTGCCATATTCCTAACTTGTACAGGGCATTTTAAGAACAAAAATGGAGGGTTGAACCTGAGTTTATGGTAGCCAAGCCTCTCGCTTTTATGGCAATGTAAGAAAGAAATTCTAAAATGACAACATTACGTGACAGGAATACAGTACAAATAAACACAAGAACACTCAGGACAGAGAAATACCTAAATTAATTATATAATAGTACATTACAACATGTAAACCACAGAATAACAACGGACCCCTCCCATGAATTTACGACAGTGCACCAGGACACCACAAACGAATTATAAACTGTGCATCACACAAATGTATCAACGCCAGAAAAAGTGACGTATTTTCTGTGATGTTAATATTATCACAGGTAAATTTCTACATATAGAAATGTAGGAAAATGGCCATTGTTACATTATAGTTCGTTTCTGTGTGTGTTACATATGTTGTGTTTTTGTTGTGTCGTTGTTCTCCTCTTATATTTGATGCGTTTCCCTCAGTTTTAGTTTGTAACCCTGATTTGTTTTTATCTCTCTCGATTTATGAGTTTCGAACAGCGGTATACTACTGTTGCCTTTATAAAACAGTTTTGTTTTATTGTAGACACGTACAAGAATATAAAATTGGGATTCAGGTTGTAATGGTGTTATTTTATGTATTTCCTAACCATGTTGGTTTTTCTTCTAAATCAAAACTGTGTATAAACAATAAAATCCTTAGCATATAGTTGCTTTAAACTAAAAATCATATATATGAAATTGCTGATTAATTATCTTAACTTTCACATACATATAGAAAAAATAAAAATACATTAACTGTTAAAAAAGGCAAGATCACATAAGACGAAACGGTAAACACAATTGAAAACAAACAACATAAACATAAACACTAACATATAATTCATTCTCATTATTAAATTATTTCAAAGAATTATTTAAATGCATTTATGTATCGTTTACACAAAATTGTCTCATTCTTAACTCAAAGAGTAAATGACAAATTGCTCATTTACCATTCTAAAAAAAAAGATTATTATATATGAAGATAAAAATAAAGTTGAGTACAACCAAGATTACTCCGAGCGCTCAAATTTTGTACAATTATGTTTACTCCACGTTTATGCTCTTTCTAGTAAACATACATGCATTGTTATATCGTAAACGAAGTCAAAATGGATTATTTGTGGTCCGCCTTATTAGATACATGTTTACCTTTTGTCCGTCAAAGTTAAACGATTTATTCAACTGATGTAACAAAATAAGATGTAGCGTGCAAATAAAAGAAAACGCATATTTACTTATCACAATAACTGTTTAGGATAAATTATACATTTTCCTTTTATTTTATTTAAGTCACTTGACTTAACAGTAGCATGGCTAATTGAGAATTACGGTTCGTGAAAAGGGCGTTACTTTACTGAGCACAAAATTTATATGTTAATGTATTTGCAAAATACTAACAATAATATGTCAAACCACAAGAACTCAAAAGTATGTTTTTCTCTATTCCAATGCTGTTGTATACTGGTCTGAATTTAATTAGGTTAATCATTCTGTGTCCATATAATTAGACTGTTGTGCTTTAGCTTAACTTAGGGTTGCCTATTTGTGGGTAGTATGTATTAGAGAATTTATAAGAAGTAGTAGATTTTCACTGCTTCTTATAAATTCTCTAGCTTAACCAATTTCTAGTAAAACGACTGTCTGTCTGACGCTGTTGACAATAGATTAACGCAATTTCATAATGATTAATTTCGTATTTTGTTTATTTCTTTTTATCTTATAATAGATGCAAATAATTATATCCACACGATTCACATCTATATTTAGACATTGGACAAGATGACATAAATTTAATATAACTTAAATGGGGTGTTAGCTCCCCCTTTTAACTCCAAATTTCATATAGGTTAATAAACATTTCATTTAATGTTCGATCATTACTAATTACTTAAATCGAATATATTTTGGTATTTATGATTTATATAAAAAGACATATATCAATATACAGAATTTATTTATCTTGTTTTGAAAAGTTTAAAACTTTTAATTACCAAAATTAAGATCCTTTGAAATTTATCTATATAGTATGAAGCACAACATTTTAAAATGTCTGAGGGCTTGCTACCCACTAGCCGGACTAATCAAAATAAGGTTAGAGCAACTGCCACAATTCTACCGTGTCATATTGCTTTCCAAAAGACAGTAAATGATGTACTAAAGGTTCTATTTGAATATATATATATATAAATTTTGTTTAAACTGTTTCCTTTTCATTATGTCTAGATTATTTTAGCGTTATTATATTTGGCATCCATCGTCAAAAAGTCAATAAGCTAGTATTATCCGTGGTTCATATTCCCTAATTCTTAGCGGCATTGTTCCTGCTTCAGATGTATAAATATGTTGATTTGATAATCTTTTAGTCAAGCTGTTCATGGCAGTGATCGTTTAATCGTTGGTAACGGAAGTCATGACGGTGATATTTGCAGTACGGAGTTCAAACCTTGGACCCGGACTGAATTTTTTTTAATCGTAATTTTTTTCTCGACCAAAATATTGTTTTACTCTACGAGGTATTACAGTAAGTAAGTAAGTAAGTAAAAGTAAGTAAGTAAATAATTTGTTATAGTGTCACAATCTAATATACATCATCATATACAATATAAAAATCTTTAAAACAATATTAGATCCCTGCTTTTAAGACATATGAGACACTTTCATCCTTTTCAAAATAAAAGTATATGCTATTATGTAAAATGAATATTTAAATAATAGAAATTTTCATATGATACTAAAATTCCTAAATACTCGTTAAAATTCATTTATACATTCAGTAAAGATTAAAAATTTACAAATTTATCTTCCTACGTTTAAACATAAGATGCAATGTCTTGGCTAATAAAACTTGGGTATCATCGCAGTTCATAATAAACTCAAACTTGTCATCAGAATTAAAACAATTAAAAGAGTTGTTCAGAGCATTTATATAATTAAAAAGTTCTTCTCTTATATGTGAGTTAAAATTACAGTCTATTAAAAAATGTTGTTCTGTCTCTATAGAATTGTCATTGCAGAAAAGACATTACATATATCATTTTCAAATTAAGGCAAGGATTTTGTTTGTGTTTTTACAGTCAAAGAAGTAGTTTTACGGTCGTAGTTTTTATATCGTTAAAAGTGACAGGTGTAAAGGGCATATGGATGTTTATTTTAATCAAATAATTGTACTGAAATATAAAATTCCTTTATTTTGTAGTGGTCACAACTATTGTATAATAGTCACAATCGTATAAAGGTTCAGTTCATTATAAAGATGTTAAAAATCGAACAATGTTCATACGTGACATCGGAATAAACTATTTTTATGATTTTAAAGAAAATGTTTTATTGAATTTTCTCTTGTCATTTTTTATTTTGACATTGCTATATGATTATACACAAGAACGCTCAAATATAGAACATAATCTTCCTTAAAACAAGAGTGCACACGATGAAATGTCTCGCCTGCTTTACTGACCATTGATTTTTTGTTGAAAGTCTTAAAGAAAAAGGTTCAACTAAAAGCATCACAGAAACTAAGGTCAGATAAATGCTTTCAGACAGACATATACACCTTACAATTTTCATATACAGAAAATATAGTTGTCCAATTGCTTATGATAATTGAAAAACAAACCAAAAAAAAAAAAAAAATAACATTGACCAATGAACCATGAAATTGAGGTAAAGGTCAGATGATATCTGCCAGACAGACTTATACATCTAACAATCATTCCATACACCAAATATATTTGACCTATTGCTTATAGTACTTGAAAAACAGACCAAAACGCGAAAACTTAACATTGACCAATGAACAATGAAAATGAAGTCAAGGTCAGGTGAAACCGACCACACTGACATGTAACCATTACAGTCATTCCATACACCACATATAGTTTACATACTGCTTATAGTATTTGAGAAACGGACCTAATTGTAACAGTAAATTTGGTCCGGTAGTAAAATTTGTCCGCCAGACTTTTTTTCCTAGTTAATCAAGTCCATGACCATTATTTTACTAGGAATTTAAGTCCCAGGACAAATTTTCCTAAGTAAATAAGTCCATAGCTAGTAAAATATGTCTGGTACTTATTTTCCTAGGAAAAATTGTCCTAAAACTTGTTTTTCTAGTAATTTTTATTATATTATAAAAATTATTGAAAATAAAAAAAAAAAAACATATTTTCTTAGTTAAGATTGGAAAGTTTCATTAATTTTTTCCTATTAAAATAAAGGACATGGTCGGATGTTATAACCTAGGCATGTTAATGACATGGACATGATGTCCTAGGAAAATTAGTCTGGGGACATAAATTTTATTAAAATATTAATACACAACTCTAAAACAATATTAAAACATAACATTTAAATTTAACTTTCAAAATAAAGGGAATGGACATTTTTACCTAGGAATATTAATAACATGGACATGATTTCCTAGGAAAATTAGTCTGGGGACATGGATTTTATTAAAATAATAATGCACAACTCTTTAACAATAATAAAACATATAAATTGCATTTCCATTGTTTACATGTAAATAAGTTGTTTCATTAAAATTTTCCTTTTAAAATAAAGGGCATTGACGTTTTTACCTAGGAATATTAATGACATGGATATGA